CTACCTTAATACTAAACCTATACATATATGCACATAGACCTATTTCCACATCCTCATATATAAACATATTTACATATGTACATGCCTTTATTTAGACCTCCATAAATGCCCTTTACCTCCTAGCCCTTTCCTCTATTTCCTTTGACTTTCCTCTTGTCCCACTATCATGTTCAGCCTTCATTGGATTTCAGGAATTCCTCTCGGTTACATTACCCTTGGTTATGCCTTACCAGGCCTCCTGTACCTCCTCACCACCGATTTGGCTCACTTGTTCCCTTGTCCCTGGATTCGTTAACACCACATCCTTTCCCCCTACCCCCACCTTTCCCATATCCCCCCCGGAACTGTCGGTCCTGTTGTTTTCTCCTCCAGATGAGGCTGTACATCTTTCGTGAGCAGATTGCCTCGTATTCCTCCCACAGAGCAGCTGACGGATTTGAACTGCCAACTGTGCAGTTAGTAGTTCAACCCTTAACTGATAGGGCCACCAGCGCTGCCCTTAATTCATCTGATACCTGTTGTTTTGGCCTACAAAATAGTGAATTTCTAGTTGTATTGTTTCTACTGCTGTCGTCCTTATTGTTTAGAAGGGTGTTCCTTCATCACCGAGGCATGGGCATGCCCTCTTTAATACAGCAGGATGCTCGTGTGGCCTTAATTACTAGTGTCCAGAAGAGCAACACCACTTCATAGTCACCGTCATTGTTGGCAACTGAGATTGACTGCCCTTCTGGTTTTCAGGATTGCTGTAGATTTCATCGGCTGTGTGTGGGGGTGTGCATGTGTGCTTTCTTTTTTTAAAAAAGGAAGAAAGCAGTTTACACTTCAAAGTACGTTTTTGTTTTTAATTTGGTGAGACCAAATGCGAATCATGAATGCTAACATGGTATAGATTGAATCGAGGGCATGGGGGTTAATCAGAATAGCCCCCCCCCCCCACGTTATACATTATGAGAGATCTTAATCATTTTTTCTTTTATTTATGAGATGCTCTTTGCTGAAAGCCTTTGAGTACCTTAACCAGAGTATCACTGAAAACAAGAATGTCAAAAAGGCACATTTAAATTGTTCTCAAAATCAATCAAAAATAATGAGGTACTCGGAAAAAGTTGTATCCCTGATAATTACATCTATCAGTATCAGAAAACAAAAGCGAACAATCAGGAAATGACAATCCCACTCCCAAGTAGCGCATTAAAAAAGGCTAATGAAAAAAAAAAGTCTCTTTTAAAAATTGTGCTAAATTAGCATTTCAAGTAAATTGACAACTTACACGTTGAAAAAAAGGCCAATCCGGGGCCAAACAATGGAAGTTCTGTTTCTCCTCTCATCTGCTTTTAACAGAAATGATCTCCCTTGACTTTGCCTGAGCAGACATTATTGTCCTCAGAGAGGTGCCAGTCATGCTGTACACTGCAAGGGTCAGGGTCACACCTGGACTATTGTGCTTCATTCGGGGCTCTACTCGTTAAAATGCTGATCCTGGATCAAGGTAGCCAGAATGGTGCAAGTTTTTCAAAGCATTCTTTTACTGTATCCCCTTTTTTTCAGTTGGAAAAGAGGTTAGCATTCCTGTCACAAGGGGCTCAAGATGTTCTTTATAACTGCAGAGCCTGAAGGTAGAACCATGGTAGCAGAAATGCCACCTGACCTGAAATTACAATGGGTTCCATCATAATCACAGCCGTACGGAACTGCCATGGCGTGCCCCCTAAGGAATGAGTTTTGTGAATCAGATACTGCTCACAGGTCAATACCCCTTTACTTAAAGTTAGTCTAAAGAGCCCTAGTGGCAGTCGAGGTTATGTGTGGAGCTAAGAACCACAGGATGCACCAACTACATAGGGGGCGATTTAAGGCTATCTGCTCCGGTAAAGATTTAAAGCCTCAAAGCCACGAGGTTCGGTTCCATCCTATAGAGTCACTTGGAGTCAGAAGCCACTCAATGGTAGTGTGTTAGCCTTGGGTTAAAGATGGTCTAAAGATGGGCTGGGGTCTTTCAGAGTCCTTGCCAAGAGTCTATAATTATAATGACTGATGCTTTTAAGGGTCATTGAAAGAAGTGCTGTTTTATAATTAAGGGTAAAGAATGGACCTTTTATCATGATTTTACACAGCAAAACCTTCACACATTCCAGTTTGCATTTCAGTGTCCTGCATTTGGCAACTCGAAAGATAGAGCTGTGATCTTTTAAAACCATGGTGCATTGATTTTGATCACATTTATGTTCTTACCTCATCTAGCTATAAATTTAGGAGCTTTTAGATAACATGGCTTTGATAATAGAAACAGAAACAGTTTAGATACTGTCTTCAGAGGAGAAAGGGTGCATATTTGAATTATCAATAGTGACAAAAGCACTTCCTTTTCATGATAAAACAAACAAAAAACCTTAGATACATAGATTTTCAAATGCATCCGTTTATTTTGAAGACAGCAGTAAAAGCTGGTTTTTGTTTCTTTTGGAGCTTGTCAAGTGATTTTATTCCTTACTCTTATAGAGAGGGTGTGGGGGGGGGCGTGCTCATATATTCTGTCAACGTATTCATCAGTCATCATTTTTGGAGACAGTTCCGACATACTGTATGTTTTACTGAGCTAACAAGAGAAAAGACTAGCCATTAAGTTTATGCTTCTTTGTTTTTCAGCACGGTCACATATCAGGAATAATGCTAGAAGTATGCTAATAAACAATATATAATGTAGGTCATCTGGGAGTAAGAAATATTTTCTAACTAGTTCTAAAGGGAAATATTGTTAAAAAGGGGGATAGATGTTATTTACGCAACACATGTTGCTCTCTCTGTCACCATCCAAAGCATCCTGTAAACAGCGCAGGGTAGTAAATCTTCCATGGTGATTGTCAGGGTTGTGCCAGCCTGTGCTAGATTTAGATTCCGCACACTCAGTGCACAATATGCGTAATGTACAAAGCCTGTTAAATTGTTTAGGCAGCAGCTTCTGTCGGAAATACTCCTGCGCTTCTGTGGGTGACGGGAATACTGTTGCAGGAAAAAAGAACACAGAGTTAAATTTCAATCACTAGAAACATTTTCCATTAAGGACACTTGTCATTTCGATCTCAAATGAAATAAATCCAAATGTTTGTGTCTTGAACCCTGATTTTGTTAAGTTCCACGAGAACTTGAGCCTCTCCTAAGCCATTGTAATTTATAGACCGGTACTCCCTGTCATTTTATTGCAAGGCTGTAGATGAGAAGACAATTCTACAAGAACGTGTGTGTCGACATGTCATGTATGGGATTCTACAAAAGTCATTTTTCTAACACTTGGGAAGTTTTCCAATGGATCACTTCATAACGGCTTATTGTATTTTCTAATTTCTAAGATGAAGATGGTTTCCAATTCTACATTTCAAGTTTCACCATAGAGGAGTGTGTCTATCTTCTGTGTTGGGGGTGCGGGGAGAGCCATAATAGGAGTTTATGTACTGAGTTCATCTGTTACATACTGAGCTATATGGGGGACACAATAAAGAAGTGGTGAAATCAGAAAGCCTTTAAAAAAAATCGTTTTATTAGGGGCTCATACAACTCTTACCACAATCCATGCACACATCGATTGTGTAAAGCACATTTGTACATTCATTACCCTCATCATTCTCAAAACATTTGCTCTCCACTTAAGCCCCTGGCATCAGGTCCTCATTTTTTTCCCCGACCCCGCTCCCTCATGGGCCCTTGATAATTTGTAAATTATTGTTTTGTCATATCTTGCCCTGTCTGACGTCTGAGTCTGGTATTTAGAATAAGGTGACCAGACGTCCTGCTTTTGGCAGGAAAGTCTCGATTTTTAACAATTGTCCCTGCGTCCTGCAGCATTTTTAAAAAGTTCTGATTTCTGGGAAGAATGCACGACAAGCTAGGGTACACGGTTTTCGGCTGTCATGTGGCTATTTCGCCAGGATATGAGTTTTTCCAATGGCATCCCGATTTTCCAGTGTTAAAATCTGGTCACCTTAGTTTAGAATGCAGTACGATCATCTGTCTTCACAGCTGTTGGCCACATATACATCAGGCTGATCTTCCCAGTTCCTTGGGTCTCGGCTGTTGTTCCTAATTTATGATATAGGAATTATAAGTCCTGTCCAATCCACTTCAAAGAACTGTTGAGTAAAGTGATTAAAAGACTCTAAAAATGTTCCTTAGGATATTATTTTTATGGGAAATATGCATGATTAAATACGATGAACAACTTCAGAAACATCCTCTGAATGTTAGAATTCAGCCCCAAATGATCCCCTATGCATCTTTGAGCTCACTCTCCCTAAAACCTTCACTTCGTAGCCATTTTACTTATGGCTATCCAAAAATATCACCACAGTGATTTTGATGGAAGGCAAGTACAGGCCGATGCTTGTTACGAATGAGATCTCTACCTAGGGCTGCCATTCAGTCATACTTGCAGGTACATTGGAACAGGTGCATTTGGTTCTCATTTTCCTGCAAGAAAAGGCTTTTGATGTCTTCCCTGTGATTTAAAAGCTGCATGTACCACAAGTGAAGGTGCCTATGATGAATTAAGAATAAGGGTTCATTCGGGCCTTTCAAAGTAAAGACAAATTCACGTCACGTTAAAGGGCAAGTACCAATTGCCCCTACGTTGGATCTTATCATGTACCGGGTGACTGATCTTCAAAGGGATCCTTTTTCGAAACGTGACCATGTGTTACTGGATTTTTTTAAAATACTCATTTATGCTGTTGGGGTTAGGAATCTTTAAAATGGTCTTGGGCCACAATTATGTGGCTTGGTTTCTTATAAATGTTTTGTAACTAAAATGATGGTGTTCGGCTCAAGCCACAGCAGCCTTAGGAAGGAGCTCACAGACCGGTGCCCCAGGAGCCCCCCAGCAGCTTAGTTAGTACCCTAAGACAGACCAGCTCCCTGAAACATGCTAGAAGTAGGGTTGCGGGCTCATGAAACAACAGTAAAACGTGCTTGTGTCTAAGTAACCCTGTCTGTACTTATTTTCTCAGAAGAAGACCTATCAGTGCATCAAGTGTCAGATGGTTTTCCACAACGAATGGGACATTCAGGTTCACGTTGCAAACCACATGATTGGTGAGTGACACCCAGCCGTATTAAAGATCGATTTTTCTCCTACTTGTGTTCGTCTATGCCTATATAATTAAACCGAATTAAAGAGGAATTAATTGTTCAGCCATCCATGGTTTACCTAGGCATGATTGATTTTTTTTAATTCCTATTATTAGGCCTAATAAGGCATTAGCACATTTTATTTTCTGCAAGGGCTAGTTTAGACTTCTGCAGAGAATTATATATCTACTGCCAGTCAAAACACAGGTGATTAACAAATTAAACTTCTAATTATTTTTGCATTATTGAAAACTAACAGGAATGGTTAATGAACTGGATGTTAGCTTTCCATAGAGTTTTAGACAGGTTTTAATTTCAGAAGTTATTATGGTAATGGCACTGCTGTGTGTTGCTTAAGCATCTTTGTTTCCAAATCTAAAGTGGTTGAATCTTTTTGTGTGTGTGATGGGGAAGCATAAATAATTTAAATTGCCAGAAAAATAGTTTCAGATGTATGGTTTCAACCATCTAGAAAAAAGTCATGATCATAATGATTATGTACAGAATTAAGTAATCTTTGTTGTCATTACCCACCAAGTTTTACCGGTATCCCTATTACAAAGACAATTTGGCTAGAGATCTCTGAATCCACACTAGGCGAGTGTGTTTTTTGGGGTGGGGGGCATTTTGCAGTTACCATATGGACTAGAACCCAGGGATAAAAATTTCACTTATTTATATGGTCTTATTATCCCTGAAATTCCTCCGGGGTTACCGCCTATGTTTTTAATATGATAAGCGCTTAGTAATAACACTAAGAATTTTACCAGCCAATTAAACTTTATCAAGCAGATCTTTATCTATTAGTAAAATGACAATTGCTATTGCATTACACTATTTTTGTTACTCGTTTGCGTTTTTATACTGTGAGAGCCTTTTATTTTATTCTCATCTCATAGTATTCTCTCGTACTACAAATAATTGTGATATATGAAAAAAGGTCCCGTTTGCCTCCTGGACTCCTGTCATCACACTCTGTACGGCAGGAAAGATAACCTGCCGTTTCCAACTAGGAACTGGTTTTCCAGAGGAAATGGGGTGCGTTGTTCACGGATAGGACCTATTCCAAGAACGTCCGATAGAAGAGCTGTACTCAGTTCTCATGGCTGCTCCTGAAAATTCACAGGAGCAGAACTCCGAATACGCTTGTATAAATGAGTGACGCCAAATCCAAAAGCATGTTGGGAGAAGGATTGTTTTTTATGGATCTGCTTCAGAGTTTTTAAATGATGACTCTTTGGGAGGATTATTGCTCATTAATGACTGAATGCTTATTAGTGAAAAATGGACCATGTGAATCACAGCTTAAATATTGATCACTTTACCTCTAGACCCCCCCACCCCTCGACTTCAGTAGCAATGTGGTTGCCTTGAACAGTATATACTTAGCACATGACAGAATAATGCTGACAGTTTTTCTGAGTGCTTAAAAGAAAAGGACCACATGTAAGAGTTTCCAGTGATGTCCCCCGCTCCGTCCCCCGCAGTTTCTTCAGTTTGGGATCCCTTAGGAAAAATGCCCTCTATAATCTTGTAAACCTTTTGTTTGGGGGGGGGGGATGGAGGGAGCTGGAAAAAATGAGTCATGCTTATATTTTCTGTCTTTTGATTTCTTGAGTTCCTTGGTGGCAGCTATTCATGATGCTGCACTTTAACATGGGCTTGAAAGCAGGCATTTCCTGGAAAGCGGCAGCTTGTGGAAATTTTAATGAAACATTATGGGGTCTTGCTTTTGATGAGTTCTATTCTAGGCAAAATGTTCTTTGGCTCCTGCTTTCTTATTTACCCCTACTAAATATGGACCCATGTATTCAGTTGAACAAACTGGACCTGTTTCTCCCTGCCTTGTTAATGCCATTTTGCATAGTGGGATCGGAATTGAAAGTGGAGCAGCAAAGGAGGACCCTTTTGATTGTGCTCATGTTCATCTCAGTTTGTCCCTAACCCCCCTTGGCTTCTTAACATTGTCTTCTACCCATTTTCTTTGTATTTATTTTATATTCCTTACACCATTAGTGCTCTCCCAAGGCATGTTTCCCTCTACCTTAGGGTGGATTAATAGGGCACGCACCTCCTCTTGGGAGCCAAGTGTTTGACAATTCACCTTCCATCAGAGAAGCAAATTCTGTTCCTTTTCACTGAGGGCCTAGTTATTTAATATTCATGCTATTTTTAATAATAAAATATGTGATTCTCTTGCACTTGAGGCCTAACAAGTGAATAGCATCCATTTAATTGTTCTATCTGTTGACCATGCAGTCAAGCCCTCAAACTCTCTTCATATTGTTAATATCCAGAGAAAGCATCACAGGAGGGTGTCACAAGGGCTCAGGTATCCTTTTAAAACCCCCCAGTGTGGTGGTTAGTCTTTCAGATGAGGCAGGCAGCATTATTCTGCAGACTGAGTTACCCCCAGTGAGGGGACATAGTTTTGGGTTGTTGGTGTGTGTGTGTGTGTGTGTGTGTGTGTGTGGTCTAAAATAATAATAGTAATAATAGTAGTAATGATCTCAAGTAGACATTTTGCAGGGTAGAGGGAGAGGGCCAATCTGCAAAGCCTCTTACTCTCCATCTTCAAGGGGAGAGAGTGTTTTCACAGATTTGGGTTTATATTTCAATCAGTCCAGAGGATGAATTATGTCGTCCGATGGAAAACAAAATCTGCAGACGATCCAGTGAGCTATAACTCTAAATTCCTTCTCCAAGCAAGGCATTTGAATTGGCTCCTATGCCACACACACGTCTTAATGCAATTTCAATGTCAACCAACCTCCAGCTTCTTTGTGGATATGCTGGTTTCAGGCTACTGGCCAAGGAGCTTGGGGAAAGGAAAACCATGGATGTTTCTACCAGGAACAGAGCTGAGACGCTTGGCTGGAGTGCCGTTTTGCAGCTAGGTGTGGACACACGCTCTGAGTTGCAGGAATAATTATTGAGTAAAAAATGCACTGGGGATTGAGCAAGAAAAAGAACACCCCCCTCTCTCCCACCTTCTGAGACCAATTCAGTAAGAAATCAAACCAGTAACTATTTAGGAGTTTCTTTGAGCACATACAAAGACGGGAGCTACAAACATTTTAACAGCTTTCCTGGGGGAAAGATTTCCCCTCTTCTAAAACCTGTGCAGATGAGAAACCGTTTTGCGTCTCTTCCTTTGTTGAGTTCACATAGTTTATGTTGGCTTTTGACCCGAGAACACAGAAAGAACTCATTGTCTACTACAACGCCCTTCATTGATTATTAACCCTTCTCTTCCTATCAGCAGAGTAAATATTTATTGAGATTTTCCTCTTTGAGATTTCTACTGCTTCAGCTATTATTACTATTATTTGGTGTGGATTAACACAAAGAGATGAAAGCAGAGAATTTGGTGCCAGTGAAGGCATTGCCTCATATAAAATTAGGAGGCTCAACAGCAGTAGACTACATTTGTAGGGGCTCAGGATACAGGGCTGTTAGGCATGAGATAATATAAAGAGATCACATTGCCAAGAACTATTTATGAGAAGCTTAATTTTTTTCACTCTGATAATTCTTGACCAATAATTACCAGTCTCTAATTATCTATTTTAGTTAGAAAGAAATTTCGATCACTACAGAGGTTGGCATTGCAGCTAGCGCATAAATCCCCAAAGAGACAAATGTGTTCCAAACAGCCACAAACAACTGTCTCATGGAACATAGTGAGCAAATTGCGAGCGGCTGGTGGTAGACAAGCAGCAGTACATTTTCCGTCGAAGGCCAGTCAGCTTGACAAAGAGATGATCAAAGGGGAGAAATACCATTATCCTTGGAATTTGCTGCTGCAATCTGGCTTTGGAGGACGAGTGGTCAGGGTATAGCCTTGGTCATTGTCAGCTTCCCTTTCAGAGTACTTGGATGGAGAATAAGGAGGGGAATGGAGACACACAAGTTGCTTAAGGATTATTTTGAAGATCTACGTAGGATTGGTTATTTAATAAGTTTGAGTAAATAAGTTCATGTTTTCCACCGGATCAGAATGACCCTTGCTATAATGGATCTTATAACTGGATCTTAACGGGAAGTTATTCCTGCTTTATGGAAAAATAGGAAAATCCAGAAAGAGCACAAATAGACCTGTTCTGGACCATTCTAGGGTGATAAGTATATACTGTATTTGGTGGGGGGGGAAGGGCGAGTAGATTTCTCTCTCTCAGAACTGGAATTTGGCACTCTAAATGCCATCTCATAGGAAAGCACCGGAGATCTTGGCTATTTTTCAAATCCATTTCAGTTCTACAAAGACCTTTGAAAATGCCCAACTACCCTGTATCCATGCGGACATGCAAGTCCACTGTGTGTTGTCCTACACATGATATACATCGCTGATGTCAAGACAGCATAACTCAGCTGTGCACAGGATGGTGGGATTTGGGCCGGCTCTTGTGGCAAGTGACACTCATACAATGTACCCTATGTGGGATGCTCAAGGTCACCAATGGCACTCTTGTCCTTTAGTGGATGGTGTGCACTCAGACTGATCTTCATTAAAGCTGTGTGACATTCAGGAGCACCTCTGATTCATTTTAGCCAGAACACCCTTGCTTCAGAAGGGACTAAGCACCATGTTTTGAGGTCTGTAGTTTTGAGGTTTTAAGCTTTGTGTCTTATGGGGAAATGTTCAAAGATCTAGATCTCTATGTATGAAGATGACGGGCCATGCTGTGCTTTAAAGTCTGTTACCACTGGTCATTAGTACACAGAAAGGAATACAAATGAATGTACAATAATCCATGTATGTGTGATCCATCTATCTACCTCCATGCTACCCAAAGAAGCCCAAAACCATTAAAGTTCTGGAGCTTAGATTTACATTCATTCTAAACCTATGGAATCCTTTTTTTTTCTTTTTCATTTTTGGTTGGGGGGGTGGGCAATCTTTGTTTGATTGCTTACAAAATTCAGAGATTTCAGAAATAAGCATTTGGTGTGAAAGCTGATGA